AGAGAGAGAGAGAGAGGGCGAGATAGAGCGAGTGGGAGAGAGCAAGAGAGAGAAAGAGAGAGAGAGAGAGAGAGAGAGTGAGAGAGAGAGAGCGAGAGAGAGAGAGGGGAGAGAGACGGCGAGTGAGGAGAGAAGAGAGAGAGAGAGAGAGATGAGAGAGAGAGACGAGGGCGAGATAGAGCGAAAGTGAGGAGAGAGCAAGAGAGAGAGAAAAGATGAGGAGAGAGAGAAGAGAGATGAGAGGAGCGAGAGAAGAGAGAGACGAGCGAGAGAGGCGAAAGACAGACAGAGAGAAAGAGAAAGAGAGACAGAAAGATCTACGTTTCCACCTACACATCGTCGCTACGACCATCCATCGATCACCAATCACCATCGATCATCATCGATGTATGACATATCGCGTGCATGCAGTAACGGCAGCTACGGCGCACGCAGCGTACATCGCGGCATCGGCGTTTGATCGGCAGACGTGTGTCGGATGCAATCACAACGACAGACGATAACGGGGGTAACACACGCGGGAGCTTTCTTGTTCGTGATTATCACGTACGCGCGTCATTCCGCCACGGCGTCATCGCAATGCGTCTGTTTAATGTATCAGCGAGACAGATAACGAGGTGAACATTCTCAATGAGCAGAGCAGAGAGGAGCGACGAGAGGGAGAGAGAGAGAGGGAGAGTGAAAAGGAGGGAGAGAGAGCGGGAGAGTGAGAGAGAACGAGAAAGAGAAGGAGAAGAGAGAGAGAGAGAGCGGACGAGAGTGAGAGAGAACAGAGAGAGAGAGGAGAGAGAGCGAGAGGAAAAAGAAGAGAGAGAGAAGACGGGTCAGGAGCAGTGAGGAGGAAGGAGAGAGAGAGAGAGAGCGAGAGAGAGAGAAAGAGCGACGAGAGGAGGAGAGAGAGAGAGAGACGCCGGAGAGAGAGAGAGGTAGACAGATAGAGAGATTCGATTGTATGATCACATTTATTGAATGTTAGGAGTAAATTACTCGCAAAGCATGATTATTTTTCAGATAATTTTACTCCTGCTAACGTTAGAGCTAAACCGTTATTCTCCGCGTTAGGTTAATCTAGTGGCTATGAATGCAGCGCCGATCGTCACCCTGTTATGCCTGCTTTTCAAATCCCCCGTTATCTCGCAATGTTCTCTCCCTGTGTGCCGCTTTACCATTGATCTGACAGAAAGGATCAGAGTCGATAGTTCATCAAGAGTGAATAATAAAAGTTATTTAATTATTCTAAAAATTTCTTTTTTTTTTAAAATTTTATTTATTTGATCTGCATCTATCTATCTATCCTATCTATCTATTCTATGCTATCTATCTATTTATCTATCTATCCTATCTATCTACTTCTATCTATCTATCTATCTATCTATCTATTATCTATCTATCTATCTATCTATCTAATCTATCTATCTATCTATTATCGTAAATCTATCTATCTAGCTAGTTAGCTATCTATCTATCCATCCCATTCTATCTATCTATCTACTATCTATATATTATTATTTATTATTCTATCTTATTCTATCTATCTATCTATCTAGCTATCTATCTATCTATCCTATTCTATCTATCTATCTATATCTATCTATCTATTCTATCTATCTATCTATTTAATCTATTTATCTTATCTATCTATCTATTTATCTATATTATCGTTCTATCTATCTATTTATCTATCTTCTATTCTATATATCTATCTATCTTATCTATCTTATCTTATCTATCTATTATCTATCTATCTATTGATCGATCTACCTATCTATCTTCTATCTATCTAATCTATTATTCGTCTGATATCATATTAAAGTCTGCTATTGCTAAATAAACTAATGACAAGTGTAATTAACTTAAGTAATTAACGTAATTATGAATATAATTAATAGAGATATTCAGGGCGCTGAGGTTAGCAATAGCTCAATAAACAAGGAGTAATCGATGCGATTATTAATATAATTAACATTAGAATGATCACAGTAATTAATATAATTATGTAGTGTCAAGGAAAACAATAGAAAAACAACGGTGTTTAAGAAATCGGATCGTTCTGATCGACGATATAATAGAATGCTCACGGCGCTCACACGTAGCAAATTTTATTGACGATGATGTTCGTCAAATCGAACAAGGAATCGATAAACATCACAAAGATCCGCAGAAATGTTCTCATGGCGACTACCGCATGTAAGGGGAGCTTGCGAAACAGGGGGGGATGGAGCAGGACTGGGGGCGAGGGAGCAGGACTGGGGGCGAGGGAGCAGGACTGGGAGCGAGGGAGCAGGACTGGGTGAGGGAACAGGACATGGGGGCGAGGGAGAGGGGACTGGGGGCGAGGGAGCAGGGGACTGGGGCGAGGAAGCAGGACTGCGTGTGAGCAGGGAGCAGGAACTGGGAGCTGAGGCGAGCAGGACTGGGGGTGAGGGAGCAGGACTGGGGGCGAGGGAGCAGGACTGGGGGCGAGGGAGCAGGACTGGGGGCGAGAGCAGGACTGGGGGCGAGAGCAGGACTGGGGGCGGAGGGGAGCAGGACTTGGGCGGCGAGGGAGCAGGGACTGGGTGTGTAGAACGGCGGGCCGGTACGCGAAGGTGGAGGGAGCTGGGGCGGAGAGGGGGCCAGGCGAGATGAGGGCGGCGGTGAGCTGCGGACGGGCGGGGGGCGGAGGAACAAGAGGGGGAAGCGGTTTGCCGTACTTACGTTCATCTGTACTTCCTCTATGGTGTAGTTGCCGTACTGGTCGATCATGCATTGCGCCTTCTCCTGGAAGCTGACAATCGCCTCATCCGACCACCACGCCAACAGGTTACCGTCCGCGTCGAACTGTTTACCTGGCCAAGAGTAATTAAGGTAAGCCTGGGTCGCAGATGAGAGAGTCCGAAGAAGAAGAATTTCAAAAATTCGCATTTCGCCTTCGAGGTTACAATAGCGACATAAATTATAGTATTTGATCGGTAAATGAAGTCGAAAATGCGTTGCTGGCCTTGAAATCTAAACTGCACGCCTACGTGCGTGACAATGATAGCAATAAATATTATTATACTATAAGATAATTTCGATCATATACGGTCATATAAATGCCACGTGAGGTAATAATAGGACATATGAAGTCATATAAGGTTACATGAGGCCATATAAGGTCATGTAAAATCATATAAGGTCACATGGGGCCATATAAGGTCACATGAGGTCACATGAAGTCATGTAAAATCATATAAGGTCACATGAGGTCATATAAGGTCATATAAAGTCATATAAGGTCACATGAGGTCATATAAAGTCATACAATGTCACGTGAGGTCATATAAGGTAACGTGAGGTCATGTAAGGTCACATATGAGGTCACATAAGGATCGTATCGATATTCAACATGGCCGCCACTGACCTTTGTCGTCGAACCCGTGCGTGATCTCGTGACCGATGACCATTCCTATTCCCCCGTAGTTCATCGACATCGGGTACGATGGACTGTAGAAGGGAGGCTGCAGGATTCCTGCTGGGAACACTGACGAAAGAAAACACGCCGAAATCTCCTGTAAACGCAGCTAGAATGAGCGCGGACGTTGGTAGTGTAAGGGGATGGATTAGTTCTACCCGTGTAGGCCCTTCGCCAGCCGCTACAGGGATATACGACTCACGGTTCACGCTCACCGTAGCTCTACCCATGTAGCCCCTTCGCCAGCCGCTACAGGGATATACGACCCGCAGTTCACGCTCTCCGTAGCTCAGCCCATCTTGCACAGGACCCCTGTAGCAGGAGCAAAGGGGCTACACCGGTAGAGCTAGGGGTGGATATGCGATAGGGGAAGCTGGGAATGCAAAGAAGCAGAGTTGTGGGAACATAAGGACACGAGAGAAGAATAGAGAGCACATGGGATGGATGGGCGGTAGAGGAAGGTGGGAATGTAAGGATACAGGAGTTCAGAGGGCAAGAGAGTGCATGGAATGATTGGATGAAGTGTAACGAACAGAGTTCAGAGAAAGGGGAGTAGGGGTGCAGGGAAAGAGCAGACGCCTGCATGGGTAGAGGGAGTAGCATGCCCATGCACTGCTAAAGAGGTGGTTACTCCGAATGCCACCATAACCGCTCGTTTTCCACGTACGAACGTCGGGAATTGAGCATAAAAACCAAATTGCCTAGTAGCAGCATGCCGGGCTATAGTGCACGTTATAAAGTCAACGCGATAGCTGTGCTGAGTTGTTTATATTCAATAACGCGATTGGGAAAAAATTCGTGGGCGTATCATCATGCACTACATTGCAGACGAGAGCGCAACAGAGCAGCATCATAATAGAGAGAGAGCATAGCAACGAGAAATCGCCCCCCCCCACAACCACAACCACCATCACGTGACCGTGCCATGACCAATCGTTGTATTAGGCAGTAACAATCGAGCAATTCCTCAATATCGGGTAAATAATAGAGATTTCACGATATCCGGTCGGATTCGCGAAAAAAGGAAAACGGACGCGTTTCAACGTTCGCCCGTACTAGCTCAAGTTGTCATCGCATTAGGATTATATTAGTAGTGATCCGAAAACGGGATCTACATCTGATTAGTGGGTTTAATATCGATCTATCGATCTAGCTTTCTAAACACAAGGCTCAGTTATAACTTACTGATTTGATTCTTGGGTCTACTGTAATACGCATTGATCACAGCTGGGTCAGTAGTCCATCTAGTGAAAATAGCACAGCAAGTAGTACCGTTAGTGAGTGACAACGATATCTACGTAGTTATATATACACGATATATATATA